GCCACTGACATGGTGATGCAGAAGTCTCTTGCAGAACGAGCCGCGTACGTGCTGGCTCCGTGTTGCGTCGGTAAGATCAAGCTGAGCGAGCTGGCCTACCCTCGTTCAGCTACCTTGGCTGCTGAGCTCACACGTACCGAATACGAGGTGCTGGCGAAGGCTGCAGACTTCGGTCACTCGAGCAGCACTACTATGGCCCACACCGACATCAATCGCAGACGTCGACGCTGCAAGACGCTCCTTGAGAGTGATCGCAACATGCGCGCTGAAGAAGCACAGTACGATACGTTCATGTTCGTTATGCACCCTCCTACTGCTACGCCGAAGAACGACGTACTGGTTGGGATCCCACGAAATCTCACGGCTGAGCAAAGCGACCGGCTGTTCCAGCTCGAGTGCGAGGCTGCTCTATCGACCGACGCGCTCGTACACAAAGCAATGTTCGGCGTATAGACAAATAATAGATTGTATGTTTGCCTTGACGTGGCGTGTTAGATATTACGGTGACGTTTATCGAGGTTTGTGAGGAAACGAAGCTCTAACGCGTTGTAACAGCTCGCGAGTATCGGATGACTGGAAATCGCGGCAATCTACCAGCATTAGAGGTGCCGAGTTGGATGTAGTCTTCTCAAAAGTCATGACTCCTTCTAGGTTCATAAGCGCAAACTGCATATTTGCTGCCCATCCGTGCGCAACTTGCACCTTCGTGTGCATTGTTTGCAGGAACTCCGAACACGGGACCCCCATGAGGCGCGTCACGAATTCTTCAGCCACGTCTGCTTCCCTCGTGGCAGTGCAATCCTCCACAGACACTCGCAACTGGTACTTCCCAGTGTTAAACTGAAAGCCTACCACCGACTTAATACACGCACGAAGCTGGAATCTAGTCGTTGTTGCTGCCTTCGTCGGTGCTGCCAGCATTGGAGAGTGTGCTGTGAAGTACTGGAACGGGCGCGTTGGATTCAGCGGCGGTGCTACTACAGGTATCCGATTACCTTTCTCCTTTTGGACCAGTAGTGAAGAATTTGACTTAGTCTCAGCAACGTGGACTATAGTGCTTACCGATCGTGTAAATGTCGAAATTTGCTGTGCTTGAGGTTTATAGGATGACGTCTCCCTCACACTTTGCTCCATTGACGGTGATCGCGGCCGCTTCCTGGAAGGGATTGTCCTGCTTCGTGCTGTGCTGATGTTATCCGTACTGACAGGAAGTCGAGGGGTCTTCGGGCTGTAGAAAAGGTGCTCTACCATTGGGTCTGTGGTATCACTATCCATGTCTTCACCCGACGAAGGAGCATCTACAAACACTGACGGGACTGCGATGTTTCTGGCGACGTTGGACGGAGCAGCGGGATTGTTCATGTTCATGGGTGCTGAAGGAGCAGCGTTTCTCGCGCTGTTTGGTTGGAGAATATTGCTTGACGCTGCAGTTATCGTAGGAGGTCTAGCGACTGACTGTTGTCGAGCAGGAGGTGGAGCATCAGGTTGTTTCTGTTGTGACGAACTAAACTGTGACGTCACCAGAGCAGCTGAATAAGCTCCAGCACTCAATCCATTCGTCTCCGTAGGTTGAGTCACTTGTCCATTGCCACGCCCTGAGTAATCTGCCGATGTCTCTAATAGCTGGCAATTTTCAGGTCCCAACATGAGCAATCCATGCCTCACTGGCACATTTTCCACCACAATTTTGGTCCCGCGAGGCACTTTCACACTAAACTGTGGCAGTGAACTGTATTCAAACCCGAAGACCAATTGGTGACCATCCGTAAGCCCGAGTTTGAGTGTGCGCGCTGGTCCAGCAGTCGAAAATTCGGTGCGATGCTCGTAATTGGCGGCAATGTTGGCCACGTCTACCACCTGCTCAGTGGCAATCGCACTGTGAGTATACCAATATTGCATTGAATATGTTTGTCTTTCCGCTGGTAACCTCACCTGAAGGATGCACATGCCCTGGAGGGTGGAGCCGTTGAGCTTCGCGACGTCCGGAGGCAGCACTGGCCGGCAACTTTGGTGCAGATCCGATTGCAGCAAACGCCCGAACAGGTACGCACCATACGGAGCCTGTTGCCGAGCACCGCCGGTCGCAGTCCGGAACTTCTGGAGTTCGCGTGCCTCCCATTCCGGATCCAGCGCCTCGTAAGGCAGATGCCGGCCTCCTGCCGGCGGTGGTGCCATGCGCTGCAACTATTATTGCAAAAATAACAATAAAATTCATGTTAATTTTCACCAAAAATAAAAATAAAAAGTTACCAATGTTAAATTTCATCACCAATGGCAAAAAAAGTCACAATTAACCCAATGTTATTTTTCACCAATAAATGAAAAATAAATAGCTGTCAATGTTAAATTCCATCACCAGTTGCAAAATTCACAAAATCTCCAATGTTAAATTTCACACCATCAACAAATTTTGTGACAAAATGGTGAATATTAACAGAAACACTGGTCATGTGAAGTTGGTCTTACATGTGCCCTTCCATTTACGCAATTTTATGTTGATCATAACGACGTTATTCTACGTTAACCTTGATAATGTGATCGTTATCACCTCCAGTGTACGATGGCACTGTACGTGCGAATGGAATGGATTCTGCAGCGTTCAAAAGGCCATCCGTCGCAAACTAGCCGACACAAGCAGAAACACAAATAATTAGTACAAATTTTGCACTGAAGCTAACGCACGGTTAACTTACCTCTGGGTGGTCGCGGAGCGCTAGTACTTGCGGTAATTCGATCAGGTGCAACTTGGCGTAGCGCAGTACAACAAGTCCACAACCAATTGATAGCAAATAGAACGCCCAGGTGCGCATTACCGCCTTCTCGCGCTTGGTTTGCACGAGGAACGCGAGACAAGCAACGTACGTCGCCACAAACAGCACTAGCAAAGGCCATGTACGTTTACGATAGTGGCTTTTGATCTTGCTTGGACTTAGTGACGATGGGAAGCGGCCCACAAACTTATCAATCTTGCGGATGTAGTAGCCCAGGATCCTGAGTCGGTATTGGTCTTCCGCTTGGACAATCTAGCTCCAACAAGCCATAAAGCGATTAATTCCTACATAGCATTGCGCTTTTCAATTGGCAAGACACTCACCTCCGTCCAGTAGGCCGAGCGCATTTGTAGTCCTTCAGGCCATAGCACGTAGTAACGGTACTGCGCAACAGCATTGACGAGAAACACGTCAGATCTTTAGTCTTGACCAATTGAACGCAACCAACTTCTGCTTCGCACCAGCGCCAGCGCCAGCTCCACTAAACACACAAGCGCCACCACCAGGAACACGATCGTGTCCACGAACCAGTCACGTGTGCAGAAGACGATGCAAGACGGCACCACGAACACCAGCAGCACGCGGGCAAGTCCCAGCGCAAAGTATCTGCGCTCCTGGATCGCCAACGCGTCATCGAGTAGGTGTGGCGCAAAGTGGCGTACGATGCTGCGCTTGTGGCCTTGGTTCCCTTCTGCGGTGACTAACATGGATGATCGAGCTCCTTCGCTGTGACTCTTTGATTATGACTGCTGTTTCCATGCTTCAAGAAGATCGGGGATTTCATTGGATAAAAATTGAATATAGATAGGCCAGCGACGGCTTCAACTTCAGCTGTTCGTCTACTTTTTATGGTCGCTGAACTGTTAATCGGTCTTGTTGTCGTCCAGGCTCACGTTCACCGTCTCGGGTGAGACCTCGGGCAGCTCGACTTCCGTAGTCTCGTCCCGAGGCGACTGCGGCTGGCTGTACGACTTGCTGTACTTCTTGCTAAAGCCGACGGTCGTGGACACTGTGCTGACGGCAGCCTTGAACTTGCGGCGTGCGTTGAAGCGACGCAGCTCCTCCAGAGCGCTGGTGAGCTGAACAGTGGCCACCTCCGTGCCCGTGACCCAGCGGTGTGCCAATAGTTGATCCACCGTCGCACTGAAGAGCAAACATTAAAACGAGGATTAGTATTGGAGAGAGCAAAGACCAATAAAAATGGACGTACCGTTTCTCCGGGTCCACGACGAGCATCTGCGAAATGAGGTCCTTGGCGTCGTCTGAGACGTGGTCCCAGTACGGCGAATCGAACTGGAATTTGCCCTTCTTAATTTTCTTGAAGAGCGCGTTGTGGTTGTCGTCATGGAACGGTGGGTAACCGCACAGCAATATGTAAGTGATGACACCAATGCTCCAGATATCCACCGTCTTGCCATACGGTTTGCCCTCGAGAATCTCCGGCGCAACATATCCGGGCGTACCGCAGGCCGTCACTAGGCCCTCGCTGTCGAATTCGATCCTCTTTGCGAAGCCAAAGTCTGCCAGCTTGATGGAGGCATCGTCGTCCTTGCTGGTGAGCAGGAGGTTCTCCGGCTTCAAGTCGCGGTGCACGATGTTGGCGTCGTGGCAGTATTTAATGGCTTCAAGAAGCAGTTTAACCAGATCGCGAGCTTCTCTCTCGTTGTAATACGACTAGAAAAACGAGGGGGGGGGGGACAGCAGGCATGCGGTAAGTAAAAAAATGTCGTAACGAAAGTTATTATAGTCGGCACCAACCTTCTCAACGATACGATCAAAGAGCTCACCACCCTCCATGAACTCCGTTACGAGATAGTAGAATTTTTCCTCGACGAAGAAATCATGCAGGATCATGATGTTCGGGTGATTCATCTGCAGTTATAAAAACAAGTAGCGAATTAGACTTTCTGCCTTGTAAAAGCACACAAGCCGCAACAGCTAACCTGTTTCAGAATGGCAACTTCCGTAGTCAGGGCCTCAATATCCTCTGCGACCAAACCGTCGCGTTTAATACATTTGATGGCGTAGCGCTGGCCCGTCGGCTTGTGAACGGCGATGCGCACGACTGAGAACGTGCCAGAGCCGATGACCTTGCCCAGCGTGTACTGCTCCTCGAAGCTGTTGGGGTTTGTAGTGGCCGGCGCCGGCTTGCCGTTCGCTGCGGCATTGTTCTCGCCGTTGGCGTCTGCATGGGCGTTCCCATTCACAACATCCTGGTCCTGGAGAGAGAAAAGGTGTTGATTAGTGCAGGATCGCAGACAAAGCCAATGCAACCAAAGTGGCGCTTACTGGCTTGGAATTGACGCAGCCCATGTTGCTTCTTGTTGTGGCAGCTCGGGAGAAGGAGTCAGTCGAGTGCTGCAGCCGGTTCTAGTTGCGTTGTGGTGTTGCCAACAGCACTAATACCTGCTCTTCGTGAGCCGTTGTATAAGGCTAAAACGGATCGGTCTGTCAGCTAAAAATAGACGAATTGAGCCAATCAAAAGGGGAGTATCGCACGGGTTAGGGGCATTTATTTGAGATGCTTCAAGTACGTGGCCAAGATCTAAGGTAGGTTCGCTTTCTGCTCAGGTAGTGAAGGTGAACTTGTCACCCTGGCCAGTCATTGCGCAACAGTGTGGGTGAGTTAGATCAAGGCGAGTCGGCCAGGAAGATGCGGCTTTGAGCGTGTACCTGACGGAGCTTCGTGTTGAGCTTGGGCTCCTTGTACGAGATCCGCTTGATGGGTCTCGTGGAGCGTCTGCTTCGGAATGGACTGCGCTGGTGGCCGAAGCGTCTGGGCACACACGCCGATTTGGTGCAGCGCGTTCCAGAAATCATGCGGGGTGTCGACGGCCGAGGAATCGTCTGGCCTGTTCGATTGCCTAAGCCATAGTAATCTCCCTGGTGTCGTGCGTTAGCTTTACATCAAGCGCTACAGAAATGCAATTTGGACGCACCCGCCGGAGTTTCGTGTTGAGCTTGGGCTCGACGTACGACATGTCGGTATCTCGCTGGCGTAGTCGCCACTTCACACCAGCCTGTCAGCACGGACGCGATGAGTTTCACTGCATTGAGCCAAGCTGTCAGGAAGGGCGCACCTGCGAGCCTGTTCGTTTCGAACTGGTGGTAACGTGATTTGTGGACACAACATTTGCTGTTGTTACACTGTTCCGTCTGCTTGTTTTAGAGATAGTCGCCATTGCATCTTCACTTTCTGTTGAGGTTTCGTTCTCCTGGTACAGACCGCATTAGCCACAATTGTCGCTTCACAATGTCCAGCTTACCTCTATGATCATTGGTTGCTCTAAAGCCACTGAAGCTCTCGGATACGTCGCCGCAAGAAGCACTCGCGGTTCCTGGTCATACATTTAAAGACAGTAATAGGCGCTGCTGGTCAACATTTGCCGTCACTCTCATACGCACAGAGTAAGTGGATCTACAGTTCCGAACTGGAGAGAGTGGTGGATCCGGCTCGAAGTGCGTGTTTTCCAAGATCGCACGAGCGCCTTTGTCCAGATCCTCGAAGTTGCATTGAGTCGCCTTGTCCTGCACTGCGCCAGCAGGGAAAAGCTCGGTTAATTTGCGTACCAAAACGCACATATACGAGCTGTCATACCCTCAGCAAGTTTGTATCGCGCCTCCATCCATTCCACCACTACCATATCAATAGTCAGCATTAGAAAAAGTCTCGGTCGTCATTTCTCCAGTTGAAGAATTTCCAGTTCTCACCTTTGTCCGAAAAAACAGTGCTCTTAGCCGCTCGAGCTGCAACAATGCAGCGTCAGTATAGCCATGAGTAGGTTATCAGTCACAGCCAACGTTTACCTTTTGTAAGCTCCTGCTTGGTTGTAGTCTGACACAAAAGACCAGAGTACGATGAGAAGGCATAGTTAATCATCAATTTTTCGAGCCAACTCACCAGCGCTTTGGCCAGCTCGCGATTCTTCTCTGAAAACATGCAGACTTTTCCCCGGAGCTGACGCAGCTCCTGCATGATACTGAGTGCGCGCGTGCCGCCGCTGGGCTGGGTCATGGTGGTCAAATGTGAGAAAGTGATCTTCAAACGACGTAAACTTGAAATGGATACTTAGTGAAAACGTTACTTTGCACAAGGTCGCAAAATTTAACAAAAAGGTACTTATACAAATATACGCAATAGCATTTCACATTTTAACTCGGCATAATGATTGACGTCGAAGGTGACGCCGTGTTCGGGTCGTTCCCAAACGAGAGATTCCGCTTCGGTGTAGAACATGCGAACGGCATTGGGGAGATCTGGCTGGAGAGTCAAGCGTCCAAGAAACGCTGGTGTGTGCATCACGGGTGGGCAAAAAGACCCGCACTCCAATACTGACATTTTCCCTATCTGCTTGCAGGGGGGTGTGAGGTGACGGATGTGGCGGCTTTCACTCCAGCAGACGTAGCATTACCCCCAAAAGACAGTGCTTCATTATGTGGCGGTGTGTACTGATGTCATCGACTTCATTTGCAAGGCAGAATTTATCTTTTACATAATTGTTAATTACTTCTCAGGTCAGTTTGAGGGAATCCGCTTCCAATCGTGCAAACCCCCGACCGAAACTTGTGCGAGAAGACGAAGACGAGTCGTTACAACTGGAGGTGTCAATCAAAATGGGGATGGCAGACTTGGCGTGGGCACCTAAGTATGTTTTCCCAATGGCTTTAGTCTCTCAGAGTCCTCTACCAGCTGAAGTGCAAGCAGAGCAGATTACGCTCCTAACTGCACAAGTTCAGGAGCTCTCCAACAAGAAGTAAAAACATTGAAGCAGCAGATGAAAATTGTACTACAGGCACAAACTGCAGTCCATCCACTATCAACAGTATCGAAGATGGTACATTCTGCAGCTTCACGACTCTCACCAGCACCGATGGCACCTGATAATGTGGTCGTAGTGGAGAAGCAGGCACCAATGTCCACACCTACGCGTGGAGACGAAGGATGGGGTGATATCATTGGCCATTCTCATTACAAACTCGTGCAAACGGACGAGTATCGAGAGACTCGAAACCCGCTCGGCATGACAATACGCAGCCACCGACAGCACACCTGCAAAGTGTGTTCTGTACTGCGAGACAATAGGAAGCGCGCAGCTCAGTCATCTTACTATTGCCGGGAGTGTGCCGACCGACGTAATGGCGGTATGATCTTCTTGTGCGATAAACCTCGGCCACATGATCCCAAAGAATACCGGAATGCTACTTGCAGTCAAATCTGGCACTTGATGTGGAACAACGGGGAAAGTATCCCACAGACTGGCACATCATTCATTAGGATGCGGAAAAAGTTAAAAACTGATTCCGATTGAGAACGAAGCCTACTAAACCAATGTGGCGGCGAGATCCTCTTTGGAAATACAAAGCATCAACTTCTCTATTCCAATCGCTTCTCGCCTTGCAGTGTCGAGTATGGATACAACAGCATCGCTACTTGCACATGATTTCGATGACTGGCGATCGTGTACGCGTTTTCCCCTTTCTACAACGATACAAAGAACACAATTACGTTCGGAGACTGCTACAATGGAAGTGACCTCGGTGGACTTACCTTGTTTAATGCATACGGATCGGTTCCTTCACGAAGCAATAGCTGGACGACACTGGTGCGTCCACCCTGTGCGGCTTTATGGAGGGGTGAGCTTCCGTCGTGAGCTGCGCAATTGGTACTAGCTCCAGACGCGACCAGCAACTCGCAGATTTTTGCATTTCCAAGTAGTGCTGCGTGATTAAGTGCGCTACATCCGGTCTGCGAAACAAAAGATCTAATCAAGTAGCGCAAGACAACTACTGGCAAAGACAACGTTTACCTGGTCGGTGATGTTCGGGTCAACGCCATTCTTGGTCAGAAGCTGGTGCACTCGGTTATAGTCGTTATTGAGCACAGCCACGTGCAACGGGGTTGTTGCTGTTGCAAAGGTGGGGTCACGCATCTGAGCATAATATCGCTTGAAAGACGCGCTTAGTTGCAATGGCGAACAAGTACTCATTCGAAGAGGTCCTGGTTTTCAAGGAGCATCGATCAAGTTTGGTCAAATTGTTTTTAGATTTTAACGGTGCTTCGCGATTTTAGCCTCCTTCCTACAAAATCTTGGTTGCATCTGATGGCGGCAAGATCACTGTCTGCATGGAATGCGCAGGCAGTGACAATGTGAACGTCTTCGAGTCCGTCTGCTTCACGCTCACCGTTACAGCTGAGCTGTCACGGTTCATGAACTGGATCACCACCCGGTTGTCTGGGGTTACGAACGCACAGCGATGGAAGCTGCTCAAAGTTTTCGTCTTGGGGAACTCGATGCGCTTGGAGCCGGCCGGGATAAACTTGGAGAAGTGGCCCATGATGTAGAACATGGGCTGCTTGTAGAACTCGACGCCGTTCACTTCATCCACCAGGATCAGTGCGTCCACGTTGTTCTGCACCCAGGTCGGACCCCCCGTCGTATCGAGTACGAGGTTCCAGTCGACCCAGCCAGCGACGTTGTTGTTCAGGTCTTCGATAATGTCATGCGCGTAGTTTTCAGCGCGCGACCAGCTCTTATCAGAGTCAGTGAGAGAAACACCGGATCCCGTGCCCAACCAGCTTGGCAAATAACCTTCACAAGCTTCAGTTGCGAGCATGAAAACGTCTGGATACTTTTGGTTGAAGGTCAGCAGCTTGTCAAAGTCACCGCCTAAGCTGAAGAAGAAGAAGTCGAGATCACGGTACCAGTGGAATCCGAGGCCACTGATGTACTTTAAAGCATCAACATCCTCGAACGGTGCTAAGCGGTCCAGTATGGTAGACTTTTGGTCATAGCCAGCGATGATCTTGAGGTCAGGGTGGTCCTGTGCCATTCTCGGCCCCAAGTCCAGCTTGATGAAATCACGTTCTTCGGCAGCCGTCAAACGTAGAGACTGCCACGCTGACGTCTGTAAAATCGACTTGGACGGCTCGTTCTGCACCGTCATAGCCCAGAAATTGATGCCTTCCTCCGAGTACGCGTCCAAAAACTTGGAATAGTACAGTGCCAGCGCCTTCCAGTATTTTTCACCTGGCTTACCCTTCACGTGACAATTGAGCGTCGTGTTCTCGGTGGTCATCCACGTCGGAGGAGCCCACGAAGATGCGAACAGTTTGATGTCTCGTGACGTCGTGTTGAGCGCACGCTGGATGAGCTCAATCTTGTGAGACGCTGAAGACTTGTCCACGTTGATGGAGAAATGCTTCATCTCGAAGTCATCCACTACGTCGTTGTATGAGTAAACGCCAGTGGAAAAATCCGTCGAGCCGATCGGGACGCGCCCTAAAGTGTACTGAAGACCAGTATCGGAGAAGTACTGATCTAGCACCATCTGCTGCAACTTTGATGACAACTTGTAGACGTTGATGGCCGCCGCGTCCGTGAAAGCGCCCCCGAATCCGATCATCGTCTGGTACTGCGTGGACACGTCGATGGAGTAGGTGGGGCTGCTCACAGTCGTTGAGTCGACATTGGCCACCTTGTAGGCGAAGCGGTCGCCAGCCTTGGACGTGGTGTAAACTCCCACTTGGTCCGTTGTGAGGCTGGTGTAATTGTTGGAGACCGTATCACACTGCGTAGCATTGCAGACACAGACGCCTTCAAGGTTGGTTTGGTAGCGCGTGGACCAGTTGCTACAGGTGGCCAAGGCTTCTTGAGTAGCAAGTAGCAAGCCTGCTAGGGTGGTCAGCAGGCACGGAACGAGCATGGCGAAGCGGCAGAAAAATTGACTAGTTGCTTGCGGCGTTGCTGGCGGATTCGAATCTGACTGCTTCTATGTGATGTTGGTCCAATCTCACCGTGGTTGGATACAGGATACCAGAGCAGAACGATATGGTTGCAGCTGTGGAGTATAAGTGTGTTTGGTATTTCCATGATCTCATGGTGACATGGCATTTGTCATATTTGATGACGATAAACTGATCCCGGGTAGTGTCATATGTAAGTTCGAAGCAGACGTAATGGGTGTGCAGGGTTCTGCTCACTCATAGGTGACATGATGAGTATGGAGCAAAGTATACGCATCAGCTACGCTGGTTGACTGTGAATACTGCTGGAAGCCCGACGGCGATAAAGGCCAAGAAATGCTCACGTAAAAGAGTCTGCTGTAACGAATCCAGGCTGCTGAAACTAACGAGCAGACCGTGTTATATGAAGTGAGTCATATTTGATGATGCAGACTGGTCCGTAGTCAGTTTTAACTTCTCGAGGGGCAGACGCCATCTTGTTCACCTTCTGGATAACGCGGAAAAGAATCATTCAAGTCCTGTGTCGTGATCACACTATTTGTTGAAAACAACGGTTTGGATCGATGTGGGGCGGATTACAACTTCCACCAGCTTTCCACTTGGCGCCAGGATCTTCACGGTCTCTTCACTGTTTCCCTTATTGAACATGATCGCCACGTACTGGTTTTCGGGCGTCAAGAAGGCCGTCCAGTCCACATCACTGAGTCGCGACGTGCTTCCACTTGCTGCTGTGAATTTGAGACGTACAGATCCAGGAGTGAGGAACTTGGAGAAGTGACCCATGACGTAGTACATGGGCTGTTTGTAGATCTCGTTGCCATTGGTTTCGTCCACAATAATTGGCGCATCCACGAAGTTCTTCGCCCAATTGGGTCCACCGTTCGTGTCGAGTATGAGGTTCCAGTCGGTCCATCCAGACACGAAGCTGGTGAGGTCGTTGATGATATCCTTCGCGTAATTGTGTGCTCGCCACCAGCCAATGTTGAAGTCGTCCAGCTTCACTCCTGCACCAGTGCTCGTGACGACCCAGTCCGGAATGTAGCCCTCACAAGCCTCTGTTCCCAACATGAACACGTTCGGATACTTGGTGTGAAAGGTAGATAGATCACTAAAGCTACCGCCAATACCCAGCGGGAAGTCGACGTTGGAGTACCAGTGAATACCCACACCAGCCACGTATTGAGCCGCCTCGCTGTCTTCCAGGGCTGCCAACCAACTTAGCAGATGGCTCTTGTTGTCGTCCATGATGATAAGCTTAAGATTCGGGTGATCGGCCTTCATGCGAGGTCCAAGGTCTTTCTTGATGAAGTCACGCTCAGTCGCTGCTGTGAAGCGGAGACTTTGCCACGCGTTCAGCTTAATAAGAGGCTCATCAGGTTCATTTTGCGTCGTCATGGCCCAGATGTCGATCCCTTCGTTCTTGTACGCAGTGATGAACTTGGAGTAGTATAGTGCCAGAGCTTTCCAGTACTGCTCGCCCGGATTCCCCTTCATGTGGCAGTTGAGCGTCGTGTTCTCCTTCGTCATCCACACTGGTGGGGCCCACGAAGACGCAAAGATCGAGAGATTGCGCTCCGTCATGTCCAACACGCGGTGGATCAGATCCAGCTTGTGCGTGGCCGACGACTTGTCCACAGCGATGGAAAAGTCGCTCATGTCGAAGTCGTCCACAGTGGCGTCGTACGAGTAAATGCTAGTGGAGAAATCGGTGGATGAAATAGGGATGCGACCTGTGGAGTACTGAATGCCGTCCACCGAGTAATACGCGTCAAGGATCATGCTCTGGATCTTGTCGTTCATCTTGTACAAGTTGATGGCAGCAGCATCCGTGAAAGCGCCACCGAACCCGATAATGGTCTGGTATGTGGTGCTCGCATCGATGATCAGATCGGCGTCAGCAGAGGAGCCATCGGTGAAAGTGGCCGTCTCGTAGCGAAAGCGTTCACCGTCTCGAGTGGTGCGGTATACCCCGACCTGACCCGACGACAACTTCAGATAGTCATTCGGGAACGTTTCACAGGCTACGGTGCTGTTGCAGACGCAGACACCATCGAGGAATTTCTTGTACCGCATGGACCAGTTGTTGCAGTCGATGGCCTGGGAAATTGGCAGCATCACTGCAAGAGCGACGAGGCTGCGCAAAGGAAAGCGTGGCGTGATCATAGCTCGCAATGCTGACAAGTGACGTTATTGCGCCGGGGCGAACGATGTGCTTGCGACGTTGATGTTGAATTCCGAAGTGGCAGGAGCTGAGTGTCAAGCACTTCCAACGCGCCTTTAGGTGTGTCTGTATTGCAGACGCTGTTGCCGCTGTGCTGATGCCGTTGCCATCTCCAACGGCAGCTGCTCACGTCAGAACAGCTTCCGGAGTTTGGAATCCAGACTGGGAGTTCCACTGCGACTTCCAGTGTAGAAACATCTTAGCTGTGTCAGTGCTACTAGTTGTGGTACGCGAAGTTCAAGGCAATGCACGTTTTGCTTGGTCTAAATCAGACTCTGAGAGAGCTACAGTCACTTCAATGATGCGACGCACACTTAAATCGGACGAATCGTCCGGCCATGAGTCCAACAGGAGCCGCTGTTCGATTCAATGGACGCTTACCTTTTAATACCGGGCAGCTACAGACTGTAGCCTAGAGTGCCAAATGCAGACTGCATGGACTAATTCAGCGGCTAGCACTTTGCAATGCGATCAATTGTCATAAGCTCAAAATGCCAAACAAGGGTTTAGTCTGCTTCTTGCCAAGATGCTCTTGGTGTTCGAGATGCCCATCATAGTTGGCTTCAACGTCACTTCAACCAGTGACTCATATTGATGTGTACCACAAATGTTACTGTATATCCGGATACTTTCCGAATTTTTGTATATCCGGATAGTTTCCGAATAGATATGCGTATGTTTGAAAACTGATGTTCATCACACCACTACGAGACCATCTTTTCGTAACGGATCATGGCAATCATTTCTCGACCATCGATTACGATACGGATCAGTACAAAGCACCTCGTCCATGACGTGTGCAACGTCTTCAACCTCCTTGTGAATCTGAATCTGCTCCTTGGGGCCATGCAAGCAGCGCCTTCTTTGACCGATCGGCACCGCTGCTGCAATCTCTTTAGCCTCGCAAGGATTCACTCGCACACTCTTTCGCGCTGCATCGGAAGTCATCACCCATGACTGCCTTGAAGCCTCTGGGCGGCGGCGGCGGCGAATGCTGCACTGCAGCCTGCAGGCTCGGTTGGAGCCAGCACCATTTCCCAACTCGACTGGTCGAGACAAAGTATTCATCGCGTCTGAACATCGGAACATGCTGGTGATCAAGCCCTTCCACTACGTGTTGGCGTTCCTGGCGGTGCAGGCTGTGAGCGCAGCCAACGACAACTGTACGTCCTGGTCGGAGCGCTACCAAACGAACCTCGAGGGCGTGTGTGTCTGCTCGGAAGCAACGTGCGATACCATCTACAATGGGCATTTATATTTGTCGGGCAACGAAGCTGGCGTATTCACGACGAGCAAGGCTGGAGATCGCTTAACCTTCTCGACTGTTGACATGGAGACTACGGCTAATGACGCTGCGGACTTCGTTATTGACACGACAACGACGTACCAGTCGATTATCGGCTTTGGCGGCGCTTTCACGGACGCATCGGCTATCAACCTGTACCTGCTGGACTCTGGTCTTCAGGACCTTCTCGTGGACGCGTACTTTGCAGACGATGGACTGCAGTACAACATTGGCCGTATCCCCATTGGATCTACCGATTTCTCGGTGACCATTTATTCATACAACGATGTGGAGGGCGATTTGGCCATGGAGAACTTCAGTATCGATATGGACAAGGACAAGAAGATCCCCTTCATTCACCGGGCCATGGAAAAGTCCTCCCGAGGCATGAAGTTTTATGGATCATCGTGGGCACCGCCAGCATGGATGACCACGGAGAACACGACTATCAACTGCGCTGTCCAAGGTTACCCGGGCGGTGAGTACTGGGAGGCTCTGGCGCTATACTACTCCAAGTTCGTAACGGCCTATGAGAATGAAGGGATCCCGATTTGGGCCATGACGACGCAGAACGAGCCCACGAAGCAGTTCGCGTTCAAGTACTGGCAGAGTCTTCGGTTTAATGTCACCACGGAGCGTGACTTTATCAAGCGCGACCTCGGCCCGCGAATGAAGGCCGACCACCCCGACTTGAAGATCATCATGATGGATGACCAGAAGGACTTGCTGCTGGACTGGGATGCCACGCTACTCGATGCCGACTCGGCGCAATACGTGTCGGGTGCTGGTGTTCACTGGTACAAGAACTTGGACTTCCTGGTGGATACTGCGGGCAACTTCGCTGACCTCGAGACGTTCCACGAGAAGTACCCGGACATCTTCATCTTGGCGACGGAAGCGTGCGAGGGCTATCTGCTGGATGGTATCGTTACGGGTGCTGGCCCCACCCTCCAGAATCCGACGTTCGCGTGGCAACGCGCTCAAATCTACGCGCGCGATATCATCGGGGATCTTGCTCACTACGCTTCGGGCTGGACGGACTGGAACCTGGTGCTCAACACCACTGGTGGACCCACATGGATCGATAATTTGATCGATTCGCCTATTCTGATCGACGAAGAAGGTGGCGCTGAGTTCTACAAGCAGCCGATGTTCTATGCAATGGGCCACTTCTCCAAGTTCCTGCCGGCTGACTCCGTTCGTGTGTCCCTGACCACCAGCTCGAGTGCTTCATCGACCCTCACTAAGGTGGATAGCGTGGCATTCTTGACTCCTGACGACCAAATCGTACTCATTCTTTCCAACCGCGACAGCTCCGCGCACGATATCACATTGAGCCTGTCCAGCCAGAAGCTGAGCACCAGTGTTACGTTGGAAGCTCTTTCGATCAAGACAATTGTGGTCGGTGAGGTCGAAGGAAACAGCAGCTCCAGTGCCAACCCAACGACCGAGACGCCGAGCACAACAACAGCTAGCCCCATTTCGTCCACCTCTGGATCCTTCACTGGCAGTTCTAACTCTGCAACAGAGACTCCTAGTGCGACAACATCGACTGCTGCTTCTTCGGCCTCGGAGAGCCCGGAGCCCACTACACCTGAGCACAGTTCGTGCTAAGCATTGCTGTGACCACGCTACGAAGGGTCAGACGTTTAACGTGGTGCCTTCTTTTTAAACAGGAGAATATTCAAAACTGGTTCATGCCAATAATCAACTCTTGAGTCAAGAATCTTGTCTGCTTGTTTCTTTGAGCATCATGATGATGATCATCATTGTGGAGGAAGGAAGTTCTTGAAGAGCTTCTTCAGAGGAAACTGCATCTGATCAGATATCTTGACATGTTTCTACCCTCGGTAGAGTCGTCTCCATAAAGAGTGCACACTTTCATCCGCCAGAATGCGACTCCAGCCGTTCGTGTGTCTTCCTGTCGCTGGCGCGCTACTTGTGGGTCACCACGGCGTCACGGCGTCCTGTTCCTCATGGTCGACTCGATTCCAGCAGAACATTGAGGGTGTGTGCGTATGCAACGCCACGCATTGCGACTCAGTCTCGACCGAGTATTTGTCGCTCTCCAGTAGTCATGTTGGGCTGTTCCAAACGTCTAAAGCAGGCGACCGTCTCGCATACTCGACTCTGGAGCTCGATGACTCGAGCGACGACGCAGCGGACCTCATCATTGACTCGAAGACGACATACCAGGAAATTATCGGCTTCGGAGGTGCCTTCACGGATGCTGCAGCTATCAACGTCTATTTGATGAGCTCGGATGTCCAACAGCTCATCGTGGATGCATACTTCTCCGACGCAGGCCTTCAGTACTCGTTGGGTCGTATCCCCATCGCCTCCACAGACTTCTCTGAGTACGTCTATTCGTACAATCCTTCGGTCGACGACTTTGAGATGGCAAACTTTAGTATCGACGTGGACAAGGACCCGCTTTCGAACAAGTTAAACCTGATCCAGCGAGCATTGAATGAGACCTCGGCAGCCAGCCGTAACCTCACACTCTTTGCTTCGTCCTGGGCGCCGCCGGTGTGGATGACGACGAGTAACACCACACTCAACTGCGAGATGAAAGGCTATCCTGGCGGCGAATACTGGGAGGCGCTGGCGCTGTATTACTCAAAGTTCATTGACTCGTACGAAGCGGAGGGTGTCCCCATTTGGGGCTTGACAACACAGAACGAACCTACTAAACAGGAACTCGCTATGAAGTTCTGGCAGAGTCTTCGGTTCAACACAACCACTGAGCGGGACTTCATTAAGCGAGATCTGGGCCCAATAATGAAGCAGAACCACCCGAACTTGAAGATTATCATTCTAGATGACCAGAAGGACTTGCTGCTAGACTGGAACGCCTCACTTTTGGACGAAGAAGCACGGAGTTACGTGTCAGGAGTTGGAGTTCACTGGTACAAGAATTTGGATTTCGCCTTTGGTACGACTGGAGACTTCGACGACTTAGTAACTTTCCACGACAAACATCCCGACATTTTCATTCTGGCGACTGAAGCGTGCGAAGGCGCCCTGGTCAAGGGGCTGGGGACGGGAGTGGGTACAGATCTCTTGAATTACAACAACATCACATGGCAGCGTGGCGAAAACTACGCGCGTGACATCATCAATGACCTGGCCAGCTTCGCCAGCGGTTGGACGGACTGGAACCTCGTGCTCAACACTACTGGCGGACCGAACTGGGCTGATAACCAGGTTGACGCTCCGATTCTTGTGGATGAAGAAGGAGGTGCTGAGTTTTATAAGCAACCTATGTACTACGTCATGGGCCATTTTTCCAAGTTCCTTGTCCCGGGGTCGCTACAGATCCAGATGAACGTGAGTAGCAGTGGCAGTTTGACGTTGGAAAACGTGGATCGAGTGGCTTTCCTGACACCTGAAAATCATGTAATCGTAGTGTTATCCAACCGCGACAGCAGCGTGAAAAGCATTCGCGTGAGTCTTCAAGCCGAGCAGCGTGCAGTCACGGTGATACTGCCGGCGAACGCTTTGCAAACCTTGCTTTTCCCCTCCCTCGAGGGCAGCGAGGCCTCGACAATAGCTGACAGCAGCTCGACAACTTCCTTGGCACCCTCACCGATCATGAGTTTAGCAGCTGCGTTAATAACCACAGTATTCGCAGCATCATTTCGATCCTAAACACCAACGTAGACACCGTTTACGAATGGATACAATTTTGAGCGCGGCTGCTTGGCTTCCATCTTGAAATGCTCGGCAGGGGATCAACTTGTTCATGAATGGATCACCACCACCCAACTCAATTGATATCAGTGCTCCTAGACACGAGTCGTGTCTAGCAGCACGCACTGTCACACGAACTCAACGTCGCCCGCAACTGTACCAGGAAAAGTGACACACGTCAGTATATTGTTGATTTGACCACGTAGCCGATATTGAAATCGAGGGGGATACGAGCGACAATCTTCACAATGAACCTCGAAAAAAAACACAACGAATAGTTTTTGAGGTTCATTGTGAATAGCTTCATCGACGAATGGATTCAAAGCAGAGGTGAGGATGACGAACTCCTCTCTTGCATTTCACTCGTTTTAGCACGCTCAGTCACTGTTCGACGACGGGTCCACGCCATCGAAGCATGGCTGCCGGTGACAGATCAAGGAATGAGAAGGATCGTTTGTACATGTACCGTGCCGCACGGTCCGTGCGTTTAATGAACGCCGTTCATTTTATCTATTTACCATCGAGTCGAGGGGATCGAGTCGTCATATTTGACGTTGGAATCCAACAACTTTCACCCGTAGGAAAATATGCTTCAATGTTATCTCAGGCGGGTGAGATGGCATAGTTGTATTGTAGGGGGCAATATATATTTTGTCCAAACTGGTGGCAGTGTTCTTAGCTACCATATATTTACAGTTAAAATGCCAGGCATCAACTTGGTGCGGAAGATGCAGTCGAGGTCCTCACACGCATTTCGCTGCTCGTTGGAATCCCTCGCTATATGCACCAACTTCAACTATCCGACGACGACTTACGTGAAGAGCGCCACCAAGATGTGACGTGAGCTTGCACAGTAAAAACGGAGCACTGTGCTTGCTCGATACTAGTACTCGACATTCAAGGCGTAGGTAGACATACAGTAGAAATACCATGGCACGACCAGCGAAAGATCGCATGGATACATTTTCCAACACCTGAGTCCTCAACCGCTCTCAATCTGCATAGGAGGCCGATAGCAACTTGCATTACGTGGTTGCCGTCAAACAACCTGCACACAGCTATCGTAGGACACTAATATTTTAGTCACAGCGTGAGCTATCCGCTCAGCTATAGAAGAAACAACTCTGCCTGGTCGACCGCTTGAGTATCCAATTCATGCTGCGAATTCTCAGCAACGCTGCGCACTTCAGGGTGTGCACGGTTTTAGTGGCGGCAAACGGGGTACTTAAGTATCACGTACAGTGCTCCGTAATGGGCATGAGTTGTCTGTGATGTAATCTTGCTGTGTTGTGGTCATACAGTAGGTAAAAAAAATCTTAGCCACTTACACCTTGCTAAATAACATAGAAAACTTGTCCAAGATTTTACGTAATCGCTACCTGTATTGTTGAATGACAGGGGTGCAACAGCAGTACTGCGCTTCAATCTCTGGCCCCAAATCTTCCCTCTTTTCCCGCCGCTTCACACACATGGGCTATGTCATGGCCACTCGACCGCTCACTTCTTCATTTGAGCTCAAGCCGGCAGGACCCGACCTTTCTACTCCGTTCTAAAATGCGCGCCGTCTCATCGTCCATGACCGTCGCCTTCGCCGCTGCGGCCGTCTCCTCCGCCACGGCGCACCGCATGCACCACTCGCATGGTATGCGTGGCCTGCAGATGGACATGAGCGGTATGGACATGACTTCCAGCTCCACCATGGACATGTCGATGTCGATGGAAATGTCCTCCTCTTCGGGTGCCACCACTGCGACTGTTACGTCGGATGAGGACTACACGTGCCCCGTTTGCGGCATGTCCACCAAGGACATGGGCTACGACAACCTGAACCACATCGGATTCGCACACGGCCAGACTGTCTACACGTGTGGCATGGCGGCGCGCACTTTTGATGACTACACCTTCGAAGTGACCGACACAGCGTACCTGGCTGCCAACGTGGCTGAGTTCATCATCAACTCCACGGATGCCACCGCCTACGTCAAGTGCGAGGATTCGTGCGACGAGTGTGAAGACGGAATCAAGGATCCCGTCACAGGCGACGATGTCACAACGTCCAACTACCAGTACGTGTGTCTGAAGAATGGCCAGAAGATCTACTTCGCGTCCACGGCCAGCAAGAATGAGTACCTCAACAGCGTCAACTCAGAGCCGCGCTACCTCGTGGACAGCATCATCTGCGAGAACGAAACGTGTTCGGATGCCGAGAACATCACCGTGCTCAGTGCCGCGGCGCAGGCTTTTGTGCCGGATCTCTCTGCCTCTAGTAGTGGCGGCTCATCGGCCACTGCCAGCGGATCGAGCGCCGCCGTATCGGTGAACTCGCCTACCAGTATTGCCTTCGCCGTGGCGAGCATGCTGGCTGCGTTGGCCGCGATGGTTTGAGCCACAAGTTTGAGTTAGTAAGCCGATCAAGACGAGCAAGAGAGAACTACAGCATTCCGAATTCGACGACAACCTCGCTGTATCATTTTATTCGCTGTAGATTCATTCAATACAAATCCCTGGACACAGACAGTTTAGACTGCACACCGGTGCTGCGTTGTATGATGTCGTCGTACATGGACCACGTAAGCTAGTACAAGTACATGTACTCGGATTCCAACTTTTAGAAGAATGTGATTTCATGGAGAGTATTCGTTTCCTCCTGCTCTACCCGAAAGTTGCCTGTCGATTCCGGCCTGAGTTATCTCGATATTCGTGAAGAGTAAAGATGCGAATAACTTCAACATCGGTAGGACATCATAAAAATGCCTCATCAGTTAGTATTTGTCGTGATGAACCGACTGGTATCTGGTGCTGAACAGGAACCACTTCTTTAAGTTCATCCAATTTTTTTTTAATAACAAATTCTCGGAAGCGAGTCGAGATCCCGATATGGACTGAGCGACTGCGCCTTCCGGAGTTTCCGAAGGCTATTTCATGTTGGTCTCGACAACAAGGGCAGCCTCGAAGAGACCCAGCAAGCTGATGGGGCTGTCCTCCAGTTGTTCAACAAATAATACGCGTACTACGATGTACAAGCACTTGCATCCTCCCTCCTGTCAGTTTCTTGAATTGTGTTTATTGCTCGAATCGCGTATGCTCTCTTAGTTCGCTCTTGGACGAGCCCAGTTCGTCTCCACACGAGACAATATCCAAATTCTGCAATACATGTACGTTCATGAGCGTTGAAGTGCTGTCTTTCTTGCGTCGATGAACCGTCTTTGAACGGTTCATCAGTCAGCTAGCTCCTTGCCGTTGACAAGTTGTCAACGAGTGACTCGTTACGAGCGTGGCACCACGTATCCATCCACACGTCGTGGCATGGACAGTGTCCACTGTACACGGTTGATACCGAGCGTATCACGACCAGTCGAGGGACAAGTCGAAGCAACGCAAGTGATATGTTGTGCTCGTGACTCGCAGGCGCAGACGACAAGAATTGCTTGAAGCAGCGCTGTCCGCCGGCAATGCTTGAGGCAAGATGAGGCGTTATGCCTCATCTTGGTCATCCCTATAGATCAGATCAACTCAACGAAGGCCCCTTCTCCTCGAGGATCCATCTTGGTGCATGAAGCATTCCGTTCACCGTCAAAGGTTAGCATTGGTACTGCGCTTTCGCTGGCTAATAGTCACTTCCGAAAAACCCAGAAAGCCCCCGCATCGCTATGCTTGCCCCCTACCTGCTAACCACCTTAGCAGGCTTGCTACTTGCTACTCAAGAAGCCTTGGCCACCTGTAGCAACTGGTCCACGCGCTACCAAACCAACCTCAACGGCGTCTGTGTCTGCAATGCTACGCAGTGTGATACGGTCTCCAACAACTACACCAGCCTCACAACGGGCCAAGTGGGAGTTTACACCACGTCCAAGGCTGGCGACCGCTTCGCCTACAAGGTGGCCAATGTCGACTCAACGACTGTGAGCAGCCCCACCTACTCCATCGACGTGTCCACGCAGTACCAGACGATGATCGGATTCGGGGGCGCTTTCACGGACGCGGCGGCCATCAACGTCTACAAGTTGTCATCAAAGTTGCAGCAGATGGTGCTAGATCAGTACTTCTCCGATACTGGTCTTCAGTACACTTTAGGGCGCGTCCCGATCGGCTCGACAGACTTTTCAACAAGTATCTATTCGTACAATGACGTGGTTGATGACTTCGAGATGGAGCACTTCTCCATCAACGTGGACAAGTCTTCTTCGTCTCACAAGATTGAGCTCATCCAGCGTGCGCTCAACACGACGTCACGAGACATCAAACTGTTCGCATCTTCGTGGGCACCACCAGTTTGGATGACGACGGAGAACACGACCATCAATTGTGCACTGAAGGGTAACCCCGGCGAAGAGTACTGGGAGGCGCTCGCACTGTACTACTCCAAGTTCTTCGACGCGTACTCAGAAGAAGGCATCGATTTCTGGGCTATGACGGTGCAGAACGAGCCGTCTAGCTCTATTTTGCAGACTTCAGAGTGGCAGTCTCTACGGTTGACAGCCGACCAAGAACGTGACTTTGTGAAGCTAGATTTGGGTCCGAGGATGGCGAAGGACCATCCTGACCTCAAGATCATCGCTGGAGACGACCAAAAGTCCGGCATCTTGGATCGCCTTGCGCCGTTTGAAGACGCTGACGCTTTGAAGTACATCAGTGGTCTGGGGGTGCACTGGTACCGTGATCTCGACTTCTTCTTCTTTAGTTTGGGTGGTGACTTCGATAAGTTGCTGTCGTTCTACGAGGACTACTCGGACATCTTCATGCTTGCGACTGAGGCTTGCGAAGGGTATCTGCCGAGTTGGTTGGGCACGGGATCTGGCGTTTCTCTCACTGACGCTGATAAGAGCTGGTCGCGTGCTGAGAATTACGGCCACGACATCATTGAAGACCTGAACAACTACGTTGCTGGCTGGACTGACTGGAATCTGGCACTTGACACGACGGGTGGGCCGAACTGGGCTGAGAATTACGTTGATGCTCCGATTCTGGTTGATGAAGAGAACGGCGTCGAGTTCTACAAGCAACCCATGTTCTACATCATGGGCCACTTCTCCAAGTTCGTTCCTGCCGGCTCCAAGCGCATTGAGTTCCCCAAGACGAAGACGTTGAGCAGCTTCCACCGCTGTGCGTTCGTAACCCCAGACAACCGGGTGGTGATCCAGTTCATGAACCGTGACAGCTCAGCTGTAACGGTGAGCGTGAAGCAGACGGACTCGAAGACGTTCACTCTGTCGCTTCCGGCACACTCGATGCAGACGGTGATCCTCCCGGCGTCGGATGACACCACCATCCTGTAAGGTGGCACACTTCGTACCCCCCTCCCCCCAAGTTCACTAGGCAAATCACAACAAGTAGCTCTGGTACCAGTCGTCAGAACTGATGGAGGAGGTACTTGATTGAATAGTACGCATTTACACGTTAATTTTAATGGATGACCTGTGAGGCAACTTGGAGTTTCAAGCGCATTAAACCTTTTGAAAACTGCAATACCGAACCCGTATTACGGATGTACTTTAAAATATCCGTTCGCGCGCAGTTCCGGACTATCTTGAAGTTGTGGGGATTTACGACGCGCTCGGGCTAATATAGCTCTACAAGCAAGCTCATTATGCTGCAGAAACCTTCATTCGTATTCTGCAAGCCTCGTCTCGTTAATATGCCTTGTTAAACTCGTACTTTAAAGCGATTCGTTCTCAGATAAGCAACACTTATCATTTGAAGGGGTGTACAATGCTTTTATTATCATTTTTTTTAATAGTAAGCTATCCTGTAGTATTCTGAAGCCCAGTGACTACCAATACAACGATGGAATCACGCGTTGAGCTCCGAACTCGCGCTACGTGATGATTCTGTTTGTGTTTTATATAATATAATATATGGGATCGCTACGATAATCTATGCAAAAATACTATTTATGAGTCAAGTGGCCTCGATTCCAGAAGTGGAGGAAAAAACACAGCAAAACGGGGTGAGAGCGGTACCGATCGCTTCGTTTCACGGAGCACTATTGCCTGGTTGTTTATCCCCTCCCAAAAACCGACGCTATTTTGTATTGACAGTGACCTGGTGGCCTGGAACTGTGCGAACGGATATTACCGGTGCCCGTCAGAAGCAAACGGTACGGTAAATTCAAACGATCTGATTTCCCAGTACATTGAGTCATTTTAACTATCTAAGAGAGAGAGAGAGAGGGAGGGGGGAGAGAGAGTGTATTATCCCTTAATATCCAGTACATGTAGCTGACAGCCAACCTTCACCTATTGCTTCATTCGTAAGTTATAACTCGTTCAATTATGATATAGTTTTCGTATGATGCATTGGTAGTTTTATGGTGCTAACAATGGGTCTTTTAGAGTTCACCAGGTTTTCAGCGTCGGCTAAAATGTCACTAGCTGTGTCGATATCGGGCACTCCAAACAATTGGATAGTACATTTTGAACTTATATTTCAACATATTGAATTAATTTGCCATTTTGAGGTTGAAAAGGTGCTCTTCAGTTGTACCGAAGGAGTGTTGCCACCAAAATAGAAAAATGGTCGCACAAAATCAGTAGGAAATTACTGATTTATGGAAATTCCTCTGGAAACAGTCGACACCCGAAGTGTTACCAAAGCGAGTTTTTCCCCTTTGCTGCGAAATCCAGCGCGGATTCACGCCATTTTAACATTGCTATTTCGTCGTAGAAAGTGGAACTCAGCTTACGGGTGGAAGTCCAACCAGAGCGCTAAGATCATACTAGTATTTAGCTGCCCCTCATATCTCACCAAGATAATCTTTATTTATTCATGCAACTAACGATGAGTCATAATTTGTCCTGGTTAACAAACCTGGTACGGGTAACTTATAGGCCCAGCTCTTGCCGTCTACCAGGATAACATTATCGATGGGACTGTCAATATTCCCAAGGCATGCAACTTTTCAAAATAATACAAGTATCAAGATAAACGGACACTTTAAAGAAGAGCAGATCTTGAAAGCTTGATCATCCGCATCTGGCAGTGGAAGAAAGCAATACGGACTTCGATAACCGCTGAACCTGAAGGCGGGACCAGCAATGTAAAGCACTTCCCAACGCACTGGCAATCCCGCACGAGCTTTGAAGAAGCCTTTGACAAGTTCCCAGCTTGGCATCACCAGGATGAAGGTTCTGGCTCCCGTTGCTGTTTTCGCCTCGAGTCTGCTGCTCGCGCCCAATGCGGTGTGGGCTGCATGTTCCAGCTGGTCGTCGCTCTATCAGGACGTATTGGAGGGCGTCTGTGTCTGTAACGCAACCCAATGTGACACTATCGTCGGCGACCACGCGAACCTCAAGGAGGGTGAAGTGGGGATCTACACTACGGCTAAGGCCGGCGCTCGCTTAAAGTACACGGTTGGGAAGATCGATGCGTCCCCGGTTGACGAACCCACGTACACCATCGATGTGAGTACGCAATACCAGACCATGCTCGGCTTCGGTGGGGCTTTCACGGACGCAGCGGCCATCAACCTGTACAAATTGTCTCCCAAACTGCAGCAATTGGCACTGGACCAATACTTCACCGAGGAGGGTCTCCAGTACAACATGGCTCGAGTGCCTATCGGCTCCACCGACTTCTCAACGAGAACCTATACATACAACGAGAAGGTGGATGACTTCAAGATGACCAACTTCACTATTGCCTCCGACAAGGCTCCATTCTCGAACAAGATCGACCTGATCCAGCGCGCACTGAATATGACCGAGCTGAAGTTGTTTGCGTCTTCGTGGGCACCTCCGCTTTGGATGACGAGAGGAGACTCGGTGGTCGATTGTAAGATGAAGGGAAAGCCCGGCGAGAAGTACTGGGCCGCGCTGGCACTGTACTATTCCAAGTTCTTCGACGCCTATAAGGAGGAGGGAATCAACTTCTGGGCTATGACAGTCCAGAATGAACCTGAGAAGCCCCCGCTTGCTGTTTCGCAGTGGGAAACAATGCGTTTGACTGCCGAGGAAGAGAGAGATTTTATTAAACTGAACCTCGGTCCGTTGATGGCCAAAAACCACCCCGATCTGAAGATCATGGCCAACGACGACCAGAAACCCGGTCTCTTGGATCGCTCGGCGCCGTTTGATGACCCAGAGTCGAAGAAATACTTGAGTGGCCTTGCCTTCCACTGGTACCAGAATCTTGACTTTATTCTACCAGGCGCTGGCAACTTTAAGAACTTGGAGAAATTCCACAAGGCACATCCCGACATGTTCATGCTCGGAACAGAAGCGTGTGAAGGATTCTTGCCCGGCATCATCGGTACTGGCAAGGGACCCTCTCTGGACAATCCAAAGAAGGCTTGGAAGCGCGCGCAGAATTACGCGCGTGACATCATTGAGAACAGCAACAATATGGCTGCCGGCTGGGTCGACTGGAATCTGTTCCTGGACACGGACGGTGGTCCGAATTGGGCAAAGAACATGGTGGACGCGCCGATTCTTGTTGATGAGCAGAATGGCGCCGAGTTCTACAAGCAACCAATGTTTTACATAATGGGTCATTTCTCGAAGTTTGTGCCGCCGGGATCGAAGCGCATCGAGTTCCCGAAGACAGAGACAATTAGCGACTTCCACCGCTGCGCTTTCGTTACGCCGGACAACCAAGTTGTGATGCAGTTCTTGAATCGCGACGACGATCCTGTTAGTATTAGCGTCAAGCAGACGGATTCGAACACAATCTCGCTGACAATACCGCCCAACTCGATGTCGACAGTGATCCTGCCAGCCTCCGAGGACACCAAAATCCTGTAGACTGTTTAATGGGCATCGCAAGCTAGCAAAAACACGGAAAGTGGTGTTCGTTTCCGATATCAATCGTGCTTTTCACTTAAATAAAATAGATCGTAAAATTGCTAGCAACTCGATTGAGAACTTCAACGCCAACATTGATGGCACGTCTGGCAGAATCTTGGTGATGGTCTTTCCCTACGCAACACCTGGAATTGCGCAATTCACAACACAAAATCAGGAGACTGGCTTGCAGGTTCGAACCGTTCGAGTTGCCTCAACTTGCGAGGAGCATGCGAACCGCTGGGTATCTAGCGGTCGCCGCAGTGGTGAGTGCAAGTGTGTCCTTCGCACCGCACCAGGTGCTGGCCGTGTGCTCCAGCTGGTCTTCTCTGTACCAGGGCCATCTGGACGGTGTTTGTGTCTGCAATGAAACTCAGTGCGACTCGGTTTCAAACGAGTATCTGCGTCTTAGAGAAGGTCAGGTGGGTGTGTTCACTACGTCTCAATCCGGAGCACGACTCGAGTACGAGGAGAAGAAGCTGCATGCGAGACCGGTGAGCAGCCCCACGTTTTCTATCGATGTTTCGACGCAGTATCAGACGATCATCGGCTTTGGCGCTGCGTTCACCGACTCAGCAGCTATCAACGTTTACAAGCTGTCAAAGAAGCTCCAGCAAATACTTCTGGACCAGTATTTCTCGGGAAAAGGGCTCCAGTACAACCTCGGACGTGTATCGATCGGATCAAATGATTTCTCCACGAACATATACTCGTACAATGATGTGGAAGGCGATCTCGAAATGGAAAACTTCTCTATCGACGTGGATAGAGCTCCGAACTCCTATAAAATTGAACTAATTCAACGGGTGCTGAGTATGACGTCGCGTGACATTAAGCTTTTTGCTTCTTCGTGGGCACCTCCTGCGTGGATGACGAAAGAGAAATCAACTATCAATTGCCATCTCAAGGGAAAGCCAGGTGATGAAAACTGGAAAGCACTGGCATTATACTACTCTAAATTCTTCTCAGCTTATAAGGAAGAAGGCATCAACTTCTGGGCGATGACTGTACAAAATGAACCTGAGAAACCCCTTCTCGCATTTGCTAAGTGGCAGACATTGCGAATCACTCCTGAGGAAGAGAGAGATTTCATTAAATTTGACCTTGGGCCGAGGATGAAGAAAGACCACCCTCACTTGAAGATCATAGCGAATGATGATCAAAAGCCAAGCATTCTGACTCGTTTGGAGCCACTGGAGGATCCTGATTCGCTTCAGTATATTAGTGGCGTCGCTGTTCACTGGTATCGAAACGTGGACTTCGTGCTTGGAATGGGTGGACACTTTGGCAAACTCCAGGAGTTCCACGATGCTTATCCAGACCTTTTCATCCTTCCGTCTGAAGCATGCGAAGGATATATGCCAAACCCCTTAGGAACGGGTAAAGGACCTTCTCTCACAGACCCAGACAAAAGCTGGACTCGCGGTGAGAACTATGGTCGTGACATCATTGGGGACTTGAATGGCTATGCAGGCGGTTGGACTGATTGGAATATGGTGCTGGACACGAAAGGAGGACCAAACTGGGCGAAGAACATGGTAGACGCGCCGATTCTCGTGGATGCTAAGAACGGTGCCGAATTCTACAAGCAGCCAATGTTCTATTTCATGGGGCATTTCGCCAAATTCGTGCCGGCAGGTTCGAGCCGCATTAAAATATCATTAGCTGAAGACTCGGAGACTGAGCTGCAGACTAGCGCGTTCGTCACCCCAGAGAACCAAATCGTTATCCAATTTTTGAACCTTGAAGGCTCTGACGAGGTGGTGAATGTACAGACGTCCGACTCCAGCACTTTCACAGTCCAAGTGCCATCGCACTCCATCGTAACAGCAATTTTGCCACCTTCAAAAGACACCACCATTCTCAAGTCAAGTGCAAAGTAACGTTAAATACCCCAAATACAAGACTCTAAAAGATGAAAAGGTCCCAATTTCAAGATTCGATTTGCTCAAGACGTCTCTTCATTTTGCGATAAGTATAGTAGGACTTCTGCTTGACAATTGCAATGTCCCGCCTCGAGACGAAGCCGCTGTTGCCTCTTGGCAACGATCACTCACTGCACAACGGCGAGTCGTATGCTCGGCGCCTGCTTTCGATCCCGCGAGAGGTCATCCCGCTGTCTCTCTTCGCGTTCGGGGGACCTCCGGCTCACCTTGCGCTCGCCCACGATCGATTCGTGTGTACGTGTGTCAATATGCACCACCCCACTCACAGTGCACAAAACCTAAGATAATTATCGTATGCATTGATACAGATAAGCAGAAATGGCTAACGGACGAGAGGTTTTTGGAGGTGTTGTCCATTGCATCGGCCATCCCAGGCCCGTCATCGACGATGGTGTGAAATTAATGGAGAAATACACACTGAACGCGGACTAAAATGTTGAATATGACAATTTTGCTGCAGACAATCGCCGCTATGGGGCTGTTCCGTGCTGGACCACTGGGTGGGCTGCTCGCCCTGATCTTTTGGGTTCTGCCCGGGTGGATCGCTTTGACGGTCGCTGGCTTCGGGGCCAAAACTTATCTCCAAGGTACTCTGAGGAGCAGGTGAATATTCAAAGACCTAATGCTGATTCTTGTTTTGATCTTGCCTGTAGAGGGCCTTCCCGTGTGGCTGACCGGTTTGGCACCAGCCGCTGTGTCGATCGTCGTGATCGCAGCGGTTCGGCTGTGGCAAAAAGCGTGTGAGGATGACACGGCTAAGAACTTTGTAGCTTCGGCCTCTGCCTGTGTGATTCTAGCTACACAAGGCATGTCATCACTGATCTTCCCGGCGGTCATGGCTGCAGGCGGCTTCATAATCTTGATCTCGACACTATGTGGCTATTCCCAACCTCCGGTCACTAACGATCGGGTTCTCTCTAGCCACCTTGAAAGGTAGGTGCACTGTTAAAATCAGTCACACACGGCACGGCCTTTATAATGATTACCTTTTTGCTGAATTGCAGGCAAATTGGAATTCATCCGATTGCAGGTGTCCTGGTTGTGCTCTCGTGGTTGGTAGTTCTGGTGCTACTTGCACACTACCACCCACAGAGCGGTGGTGATCACTCGCTGCTATCGCTATTCTACACTTTCTATTGGATCGGCTCCATCATTTTCGGCGGGGGACAAGTGATGCTACCAATGCTGCTGGACAACATAGTGATGGCTGGGTGGGTCTCGAAGGAGCAGTTCTTGATTGGTCTCGCTCTTGTTCAATCTCTACCAGGCCCGCTGTTCAATATCTCGGCGTATCTTGGAGCTCTCATCTACGGTGTTCCCGGGGCTTTCATTTCGAGTGTTGGTCTGTTCGGTCCCGGTATAATCCTCTTCTTTGGCCTGCTCCCGCTGTGGGAACGCGTGCGTGGCAACAGGAGCCTGCAGATTTTCCTATCCGGCGTCAATGCATCTGCAACTGGACTCATTGTGGCTTCCTTTTTCTTGTTGTGGGACAAAGCAGTACATACTAACGCGAGCGCAGCGGTGGGGCTCGCAACGGCGTTGATGGTTGGTGTGTTTCGTGTTCCAACGTCGATGGCTATCATCGTTGGAGCCATCTTGGGCTTTCTGCTCTCCCCTGAGGTCTTCGATCTCGGCCAGAAAGATTTCTGCAGCTGATGTGCTGGAATGCAGTGTTTGTAGTCTTCGGTTTATAGGTGCTGGAGCTACTATTAGGCAGGATGATTTTCGTTTAGCGCTAAGGCCTGATGGCTGAATAATACCATTCTTTAGTATTAATACGACACACATGGGTATTCGTCTTCCATCTGGAAGTGGCGAAAGCGAAGTCAATTCCACCGATTTTTCACTGGTCAGACCAGCCCGGTGCCATTTGGTGGTTCACTCGTGCTCTAGTTTCTATGACGGAATCCCTGCCGCAAACCGTGAACATATCGTCACTTTCAAATTTATAGTGTACAGCACTAACCACGATGAAGATACTCACCCTTGCGTTGTTGCTAGTCCTTTTCGGTGTCG